ATTTCTCTCCTCAAAACAAAATATTTTCTCCCACTTAGGGTTTGCCTACATGTTTAGTATTATGCTTAATACAGTTATCACTGAAGGTGAAGAATGCATGCTACCAAATGCGAACAGGAGAAAATGAACCGTAATAAAGAGCTTTGCAAAAAACAGGAATGTGTACTGCACTTCCAATGTAACTATTTTAGAGTGTCTTCTATTTTATTAAGTTTTCTGAAAAGACAATCATTAATTCCACAAATACGCTGCAATTGCTTTTGACATATGCTTCCTCAGCTATGAAAGAAGAATACAAGATGAAATCAATGGGAAAAAAAATGCTGGGAAGAGTGAAATTGCCTTAGGGATTTTGTCCTATGCAATACAATGGTCTAGGAATTCAGTATAATAAGAAAGATGTGGTATCTATATCTATTGATTTTTTCAGGGAGCTCTTGCAGTCTACAGCTTTAAAATTCCACTTGTCCACCTGTTGAAATTCAAAGTTCCACCTGACGAAATACATCGTTTGTGAAATCTTGATATTCTTCAATGGCACTAACCTTACACATCTAGTGTAAGTAATATAGTATTATGATGTAAGAGGTGAAATAACCCTACTTTTTTGCTGTCTTTGCAAGGCTACAAAACTTCACCATTGTACATGTAATCCACTAAGGCTGAGTGCTCATTTGTGGATTGGAGTTTCAGCTCAGGGTAGCCAAATGAAGGGCCACAAAAAATCAATGATGACAGCTTGTTCCTAAAAACAAAATTCTATCCCAGACCTTAGCATAGTTTAGAGTGGTCTCAGGACTCTCATGAACCATATCACCTGTCCATAATATCAAGAGTCAGGTCTCCTACCAAAGGATTATTAGACCACAGAGGCTCTCTAGAACTACATTTGTCTTCTCATTTATATAGTCTAAGCTAGGAATGAATGAAGTCAAAGGGGAAAGACTGACAGAGACTCTATCTTCACTGTCTCAGATCCCTCATTACAAGGGAATCTCTTCTTGGATCAGTTGACTGATATTGCATGCTGTGATATGTTTATACCAATGCAAAGCAAGGGCGAGATACAATCACATGTTATTCAGTTATCATTCCACTAAACAATATTAGCAGTGAAAGTTTCCCAGGACAGACGAGCTGTATGTGTACACTCCAAAGCAAACTTTTTAATAAGTGAATATTATAAGCCTCCTTGAAGCTCCACTCTAACCTATTTTTAACTCCAAACTTTTCTTTAATATGTAGGAAATAATATCACAGTATAAAATAAAACAAGGTCAAAATGTTTTATTCATAGAGCTTTTGTATGCCTTGATTATTGCAGCTTTTCCTGTACCCAGGCCAGCTGGTACAATATGTACTGTCTTCTACATTTTGTTGCTATTTTCTTGTATTAAGTATGTCAAACTTTTATATCTGAGCAATAAATGTTAGTAACATAGGTCTGATGCATAGTAATGCGGGTAGAACAACCGTGTACAAAGGTAATATCTTGGTAAACCAATTAATATGGTTATGACTAATGATAAAAACATAGAAAAAAAATGAAAAGGCAAGAGTGAGGTCAGTCAGTAGTACCACAACATGGATTTGACTGAAGACTGTTTACAATCATTAAAAATATTTCTGTATTTTACCTTCCAAGTCAAAATAAATCTTGTTCTATTTCTTTGCCTGAAACCCTAAATAGTGCTTGACTGTAAAGGGTACATATAGGGATGCTTAAATTTAAAGCTTTTTCTTCACCTTTTTGGTACAGTTCTATCTGGGGATTTTCCAGGCTGTTTCTGTGCCCCCCATATTGATGTTTCCAAACTTCCTGAGAAAAAGCAAAATTCACCATCTATAACTTTCATAAATGCACTTTTAGTAAATTAAGAGTACTCTCTTAATGTGTCTTGGAGACACATTTATTTTTTCCATGGACATTGGTAGCAGTGATTTTGAATAAAGGGGTTCTGATTCCTCATTTCACACAGCACAGAAAAACTGAGGAAGGCAGAAGGTCTGTAGCCTAGTCTAGCTCAGTCACTTGTTGATTTTTTTGTTCTTTTACAGAGCTGTTAACAGTCCTTGCCTGTTTGGGACTGCTTCATGCAGCTTCCTCTCTGAATAATTAAAAAGTTGTCTTACCTCAGTCCTTGTTGACCAACTTATTCTCTGTCTGGTTTCTTCTCCCTCTACTTCTCTAAAATTGCTTCTGAAAGCCCTTTTCATTTACTGTCTCAACTTTCTCTTGAAAAGCTATCTTTTCTCCCCCCTTTGATCCATCTCATCAGTTAATCAAAAACCTCATCTATTTGACAGTTGTTAGATACCCTTATGCTGCAATTCAGACCTGAGTGATGTTTGTTCTGTGCAGTAGACCAATACTTCTTTATGAGGGCTTTCAGGTGAATAACTGTCCATAGATGTTTAATTTATCTTCTGCTGTGAGTCATCACCTCTTTGAATGTTACCTGAAGATAGAAATTCAAATACCCAAAAAGAGACTCTACTTATCTAAGTGTAGTTTAAAAGATGACATAGACACTCATATAAGTTCTCCAAATTCACATTGTCTTCCTTATTTATTTGCTTAGATGCTTCAACGGGAACTTGTCTCTAACCTAAGCAACATAGGTAAATATTGGAAGGCATCTTTTCTGCCTTTATTTGGATGGACAACAGGGATGTTCTTCATCTTGGACCTTTCTTTGAGCTTGTAAAGCATTGCATAGACTTGTGAGGGAACCCAGAGCTCTGAAGTGTCTGACCCTGGATTTTTCCTACAACAATTCGGTAAAGACCAGAAAGAAAAAGCAAAGCAAAACAAAACAAACAAACAACAACAACAAAACAAACAAACAAACAAAACCTCATAACTTTCTGAATAGAAAACACTCAAAGTGACTACGGAAGATAGAGTGGAAATAAACAGCTTCCTAATTGTCTTGTTGTCCTTGCAGGCCTATCTTCACATTCAGCCAGCTTCTTTCTTACCAGCAACTGACTTGGCTATTGCCCTGTGATGCCATGGTAGTCCCTTTCCCTCCCTTGCTCATGTCCATGTGCCTACAGTCCCCACCTCTGATACCTTCTGGTGTTTCAGTGACTTTCTCACCCTGAGCAGGCTCAGAAGCCCCTGAGGGAAGGAGCAATCTCCGCCACCTTTCTCATAAAGTAAAAGTAGTCACTTGCAATACTAAGAATAATTTCTGTCCTATTAGATACCATAAAGATACATTAGACTTCTTTTTCACCTTTTTATTCCATAGCTGAAAAAAATACCTTATCTGTGTAGCCAAATTCTGACTGGAGAGAACAGACACACATTAGTTTCATGAGGCAGGGACATGAGACATGCAGTGCAAGGACCCTCATCATAGGAATTTTTCTGACATGAATCTTACTCAAAGTTATCATTTGTTAGGGGGCAAGGAAAGATACAAGGACACACCTTTTCTCACCCCATTCCCTTACAGATTTTGAGGAATGGCGTTGTTATTATCAACATTTGGCTTACAGACCAGCCTCTTGCTTCCCATTTTGCCCTCAGAGCGTTTTATCCTGTAATGTTCAAGGCAGTACATAATGCAAGACAAAGGGTGAGGTTAACACTCCAGGCTGTAGATCTGGCCACCAGCAAGCACAGCACAGATTTCCACAGACAGAAACAGAACATTTTGCTAAGCCAGGCGATACATCAATCCTTTATGCTAAGTGAAATTTATTTAAAGAGCATTTTCAGATTCCAAATGATGATGAACTGAAGCTGCAAAATACAGTTTGATTTTCATCACTTGAAAGCAGAAAGCACAGTAAAAAATATTTGTAATTTTATCATTTTTAAACAATCCATAATGGTTAATCTGGAAGCATTTCTTTTTGTTTATTGAGTCTTGTTTCTTATTCTTTTCCCACCTACTGCTTTATTTTATTGCTCTATGTCTTCTCAGTGAGCCCAGGGAGCTCTCTGTTCTACATGTACCACTGCATGGTCAGAGAGGAAGTTTTACCAAGGTCGACAGATGCTAATCTACTCATAGAAGACAAGTTACTGCTACTTCCTAGTTCGGCAAGCAATTATTCTTTCGTGATATCAGTTTGGGGAACATCAAAACTGCAATAAAAAGTGCATTTTCCACAATAAAGACAACAGGAAGAGCATGATAATATTTCATAAATACAGATATTTTCTCTTGTCTTATAGCCTACATAGAATTGGGTAATATCAAGCATAGAAACAGTCACTTAGTACAAACGTCAGTTAGTCACTCTGACCTAACATTTAGTACACTTTTTCATATATAGATTTCTCTCTGCATATTTCTATTTTCCCTGCAGTGTGATTTTTGTAAGGTACCTGTTATTTCTACCGCTAAAAAATCACCGATCCATATGATTTGACCTCTTAGCAAAAACATTTTCAAGTGTCATCAGCTTTTATTTTCCAGAAATCCACCATTAATTGCATATTCCTTCCTGTTTAAAAGCAATTTTTATAAGAAAAAAAAAGTCTATATTTCTTTTCATCATGTATCCCAAAATATATAAGCAATTATCTTGCAGTATCACTGACTGGTCATTTTCTCTATCTCCTTTTTCTCTTCTTATATATGAAGAAAGGTGCCGTTAATATAATAACTAATGGTTTGCTCAAGATCCTGTTCATTTTTGCTGAGTGCTAGGAGAAAAAAGTCAAAGTGCATTGGAATTGTCATTTGCACAATTTAATTTCTTAGTCTAACTACTCAGCAGCTTCTTAAACCAATTAAAGCAAATAATTCTGGAATGGACATAGTCTGCACAATGAAGTAGTCTTTCCTAAGCCATAGTACTATATTTCAATAGTTTATTGAGCTACAGCATCCCACTCTAGTATGAAGAGCAATTCAGAGTCACTGATGGAAAAGGAAAAAGCATTTTTTTCCCATTTTTTCTAACATCCTAAAATATATATATATATATATATATTTTTTTTTTTCCCACAGAACTAGTAGAAAAACGTATGGTCTTACCCCGCAGCCTAGTCCATTTCCTGTCTCACATACAATTTTCCTCACTCCTGGTTCAGGCAGTAAACCCGCTCCACAGCCGGGAGTTGGACACAGCACACCGCCCATCTGTAGAACGCACTCCTCTGCACCATAGCGCTGGTAGCGGTTGTACTGCAACACAACAGACAGGTGTTAAACTCTGACAGCACGCAAAAAAAAAACGAAACCCACAAACTTGGACCTTGAATCTATCCCATATAATAGAGTCAGCTGTCATAATGTCACACACCCTAAGTTCAGCAATTTGTCAAATGTCTCAAACTTTGCAATTCGCTAAATAGGGTGTCATTCCACTCCAGCTCACATCATATGCATCATTTTTTAATTCATAGTTATCCTTTAAGCCACCAGAAAATTGTGTGATACTAAAATTAAGAAAATAGTAGATTTTTCCTGTGAATAATGTCAAAAGCTCTTATACTGATATACAGAAATTAATGTAAAAATCATAAATAGAGTTCAGCAACAGATACGCATAAATGCTGTATACACATTGAAAAGAAAACCACAGAAACACACAATATAATGTCTTTGAGATAAAGGGTTGTAAAAATAGGTCAGAAAACTTCTATTTCAAAATAAATTTGATTAAACTGATTGGCAAAGTGATCATCTTGACATCCATTTATTTTAATGTAAGTTGTGGTTTTTTTTTTTCCAGGGTCTACCAGGAAACTTTCTTAGATTTGAAGTTTTCATCTAGTCCTATATTGATAGCCTAAAAAGCCATGGAAATGTCTCAATTTTAATGATGGAGATACTGACATACAGGAGTATTGAATAACATGCCAGCGTATCCTCAGTGACAAAAATGCCCGCTCTAAAATGACTGATGGCATTGCAATAACTTTCCCTGTTCTAACTTACCCTGCTTTCAAACTGAAATAAGCTGAACTGGTACAAATCATGCTGCATACATGTAAATCACATCCACTGTAGGGCTCTGCACTGGTGCAGTTCCACACTAGTGGCTATATAACCACTGCTAACCAGGCTTCAGATTCTACCATAAATCTGGCCTACAGTAGGGTGAAATAAATAAAAGCATTTGGTTCAAACAGCCCCAAGAAAACAGGAAAATCAAAAAGGGCAAAGAAGAAGGGAGCAGCATGAATTTTCTCTGAGAGCAGAATGAATTTATGGTGCTAAAGGAAGAAAACAAACTATGTTACAGCACACACAGCAGCATTCAGTACTTCATATACTTTTAACTTGCTGTTGCTCATGAAAATCATGAAAATCCACTTGTTACCTTTTTTTAGGATAACATCTAAAAAAACCCTCTCCATCCTGCACCCCTCTCCAAAGAAATCCCCAAAGGAAATTGAAGTAATAGAATCAAATAGTAATAGAACCAATAGTAACAGAAGCAAAACCACATACACAAAACATACAAAAAGGGATTTTAAATTATGAGACAAGGACTCCAAGGCATATTTTATGTGTGCATTTAAGAAGATTCTTCTGCAAATGTTGAAAATATATCTTGTTACACCGTTTTAAACAATAGTCTATGACTTAAAACCCTACAATACATAGATGTGGAAGTGCTGCATCCCAGAAAAAAGAAAAAAAATAAGGTTTATCAAACTGAAAGTATTCATGTCTGTCAATTAAAAACAAAAACAACTCCAAACAAACTTCCTCTCAAAAGAAAAGCAAAATCCAAGGGGAGAGAAAGCCTTCAAAACATCATTCAGTATATCAATGGCTGTCAGAAACTGTGAATTAAAGATCTCAAAACATGCAGATACCAGTATTTTGAGAAGTGTATGAGACATCTCTGCAAAGTCTCCTTGAACGTGAGGGCTCAGCAGGTCAGCTGGTGGTCTTTTATATTATTACTATGTTCAAACCTGGAGTAGTGGAATAAATATTTACTGTTGGAGTCTATCAATTTTCAGCAATGTTTGGGATCCTTGCACTAAGTATATGCTGAGTGCTCCAAGTCATGTCACTGGCCTTGAAGAGAAATATAGAATCATAGAATGGTTAGGGTTGGAAGGGACCTTACACACCATCCAGTTCTAACCGCCTTGCCATGGGCAGGGACATCTCCCATTACACCAGTTTGCTAAAAGCCCCATCCAGCCTGGCCTTGAACACTTCCAGGGATGGGGCATCCACAGCTGCTCTGGGCAGCCTGTTTGAGTGCCTCACCATCTCCTGAGTAAAGAATTTCATCCTTATATCTAATCTAAATCTATACTCTTTTAGTTTAAAGCCATTACTTCTTGTCTTGTCACTACACTCGCTAATAGAGCTCCCTCTCCAGCTTTCCTGTAGGCCCCCTTTAGGTATTGTAAGGGCACAATAAGGTTTCTCCTCTTCTCCATCCTGAAGATATGGTTGGCACTGAAAGTATCCACTGAAAGCATTTGTTGACTTAATTCTTCTTCAGGACACAGGCAGGACCTGAATGTGAGGATGGCAATCGTTCTGTTAAGAAGCAGCCTTCCATTGTGCTGGGTGTTTGCAAGCACTTTCTCCTTTCTCTAACTGGCAAATGCCAGTGACACTCTGGCTGTGATTCTGTCATGCATTCCTATTACAAATTATCAGCTGAAAAAAAGAATATTCTTTCAAGTCTCTAATTTAAAATAGAGGACATGGAGAGATTCCTTTGGACACCTTTCCTTTTCTTTTGATACACAAAAAATGGATGATAGGTAAGAATCAATCTCAATTTTTTTCTCAAGTTTTAGGAAGGAAATGGCCCTTACTGGCCACGTGGACACAGCAGTCGAATTCTGCCTGAAAATTGTGATGTTTTACTGGTTCAGCTCAGGGCTAATCTCAACTAATTCCAGCACTATCAACAATGATATTTACAATATAATTGTCAAACAAATGGATCAATTTGAAGAAATGAAAAATAATTTAAGTGAATTTGCACATCCTGATATCTAGTTACCAGCTGATTTCCAACCTTCAAAACTCCAAATATGTTCATAAGATGTCATTTTCCTTTTTCCTTGTGCATGTACAATACCTCAGTTAAAATTCAGCAGTCAACTAGAACAGGTAATAGCAGAATGTATACACATTTTGTCATACATAACTTGGTGATTTATACACTGTATTCTGCGATCTGAAACAAAATGCTCTTTACATTAATGTGCATTTATAAACAGTTTGTAAATGACCAAAACACTTACTTATGAATTATTAATTAACTACTTTCATATAGTGTCAGATTATACCCATTAGAGGCATTTTCATATAACACAGCTATACATATCACATGGTACTGATGCAATCAACATACTTAAAACAAGTCAATCTGCAAAAGCACTTAAACGTCTTTGGAGTCCATGATATACTCTCAATCATGTCTGGGTAAGATGCTTAAGGATAATCTACCACCACTGGTTTACATCTTACTCTTAACCAGAGATTGAAAGTAGGATTCACTTAATTTAGTTTCAGTTTCTGCAGTAATGATGCCTATGGTTGCACAGGTTGTTTAGACTTATTTAACAGAGACAAAAATAGGATGCAGTTCATCTTTTCTCTTTTGGATGCATGCCACAGTATTAGAACTGATCCCTAGAGTGCATTGTTGTATTAACTCTAAAGAGAGCTCAGACTGTTTTCTAGATGTTGATGCCTGATGTTAGGTGACCGCCACAACAGGTACTTCAGTACCAATAATTCTGATCCTAAGCTACTGGGCCAGACTATTTTTAAAATCAAAGATTAGGTACATAAGTAGGTTAGACTGCGAATCACTTCACATAATTTTCTCTTTTCAAAAATTAAACATCTAACCTAAACAACTCACATAGGCTCCAAATACATTGATTGTGAAGAGACAGTTATCCCAAGAATAGAATTTACCCTGACTTAAATGTAAAGTCTAAGGTAGGTGGACTGAATTACCCTGTGGAAATGCTATAGTTGAAGCTGAGACAGCTAACTTACGCTAAATATATTACACTTAAAGAACTGTCATTGGAAGATTAACCTAATTCTTCTGTACATTCCAAATATTTCACATTATGTGTTACTCAGTTAACAATGTACCCCCTAGTTAGAGATGCACTCATCAGGTGTAAAAGGGTTTTACATATTACAAGTAGGAAAAATATCCCTAATTACTTTTAGGAAAAAAACTCTTAAAAATGTAATATATGGGAAATTTGACTGAACTGGCATTTGTGATACCCAATTTCAATTCCTGGCAGCCACACAGCCTTCCTGTGGTTTTCACGTAAGTCACTTAATCTATGCTTCTCATCAGTTCCCCATTTGTAAAGAGGGAAAATGATACTTGCTGATTTCACTGTAGTGTTGAGAGGTAAAAGCCATTAATAGTCATGAGGACATCAAATACTATGGTAATGAGAGGCATAGAATTACACAGAAATCACCAGCCATCTACTGCTGCTAGAAATCAGCTTTTGAGCAAAGCATGCAAGACATTTATATGCTACTGTAATAAAGGTCTCAGAAATATAGGTAGGTAAATAGTTGCCGGATTCAATATAGAACCATATATTTCAATACTTATTTGGAAAAAAAAAATCTTTAAAAATATGATTTACTCCAAATTGCTAGTGCTAAGACAGCTAGATGTATACAAACAAGATAGTCTTAAAACTTTTTTTTTTTTTTTTTTTTTTTTCCCTATGTTAACAGCATCCTGTCATGAACTTTCCCCTCAGTTTGTGGACTGACCCAGTTAACCCAAATCTATACTTTTAATGGAATAAAATGTTGAGTAGAAAAAATTCCCATCTCCACTTTTGGTATTTCAACCGCATCACGAAGTTTTTCATGCAAGCTTTGCTCATAAAGAGTTGTCAGAGCCTTTAGAAATGATTTTTATAAATGATTATAAATTATAGTATGACACAGACATGGAAGCTGAATAGCTGTAACCATTTATTCCCTGCTCCCCCCTTTCCAGATTGGGATGGGATCCCTTGAGTGTTAGAATAGTACCAGGTTTTCAAACTGGAAATTCAATCATTTGATGTTGTAAATCAGGTGTAATATAATTGAAATCACTGGGCTGACAAAGGAATGAGACAGGTTTAACTATAGATTGCTGTATTTTAAGCTTCATTGAGATGCAGATATTAAGACAAACCTGAAATGCACCTGGA